CAAAGAGAGAGGCAGGTCCTATTGACCAGACAGAGGCAGGTCCTGTTGACCAAAGAGAGGCAGGTCCTATTGACCAAAGAGAGGTAGGTCCTATTGACCAGACAGAGGCAGGTCCTGTTGACCAAAGAGAGGCAGGTCCTGTTGACCAAAGAGAGGCAGGTCCTATTGACCAAAGAGAGGCAGGTCCTATTGACCAAAGAGAGGCAGGTCCTATTGACCAAAGAGAGGCAGGTCCTATTGACCACAGAGAGGCAGGTCCTATTGACCAGACAGAGGCAGGTCCTATTGACCAAAGAGAGGCAGGTCCTATTGACCAAAGAGAGGCAGGTCCTATTGACCAGAGAGAGAGGCAGGTCCTATTGACCAGAGAGAGGCAGGTCCTATTGACCAAAGAGAGGCAGGTCCTATTGACCAAAGAGAGGCAGGTCCTATTGACCACAGAGAGGCAGGTCCTATTGACCAGACAGAGGCAGGTCCTATTGACCAAAGAGAGGCAGGTCCTGTTGACCAAGGGCCAGATTCCAGTTTCCAATTGTCCAGCATTGGATAGATTTATCCAGCTATGGATAGATTTACATCTGTCTTCCTTACAGATGAAAAATCCTATTTTATTTCGAATATTCCTTATCTTTATATAGAATGATTTCCTGATTATATTTACTGGGTATTTTAGATGGAACACCTCGGTAGTTGATATGTTTGTGGTCGGGCGTTCGAGGCTCATGGAGGTACAGGAATGTATTGATTGACGTGATATTGTTTGACGGGATATCCCATTATACATCTCTATACATCATTATACATCATGTATAATCGTGTTAACTCTGTTATCTATTTGCGACTATGATATCTCCTGCCATTAGTAACATGGCATATATATATGTCAGCCACGGTATATCATGGTATATATATATATATATATATATATATATATATATATATATATATATATATATATATATATATATATATATATATATCCTGTCGGTCATGGTAGTTCCCGCCTCCTGTACCGTAGTATATGTCCCCCCCCCAACCTGTCTGTGGTATATCTCGTCACTGACCGTGACATACCTCCCTCCCCTGGCCGTGATATACCTCCCCTAGAGTGACCGTGACATACCTCCCTCCCCTGGCCGTGATATACCTCCCCTAGAGTGACCGTGATATACCTCCCTCCTCTGGCCGTGATATACCTCCCTAGAGTGACCGTGACATATTTCACTCCCCTGGCCGTGATATACCTCCCCTAGAGTGACCGTGACATCCCTCCCTCCCCTGGCCGTGATATACCTCCCCTAGAGTGACCGTGATATACCTCCCCTAGAGTGACCGTGATATACCTCCCTCCTCTGGCGTGATATACCTCCCTAGAGTGACCGTGACATACCTCCCTCCCCTGGCCGTGATATACCTCCCCTAGAGTGACCGTGACATACCTCCCTCCCCTGGCCGTGATATACCTCCCCTAGAGTGACCGTGACATACCTCCCCCCCCTGGCCGTGATATACCTCCCTAGAGTAACTGTGACATACCTCCCTCCCCTGGCCGTGATATACTTCCCTAGAGTAACCGTGACATACCTCCCTCCCCTGGCCGTGACATACCTCCCTCCCCTGGCCGTGACATACCTCCCTCCCCTGGCCGTGACATACCTCCCTCCCCTGGCCGTGATATACCTCCCTAGAGTGACCGTGACATACCTCCCTCCCCTGGTCGTGATATACCTCCCTCCCCTAGCCGTGATATACCTTCCCTAGAGTGACCGTGATATACCTCCCTCCCCTGGCCGTGATATACCTCCCTAGAGTGACCGTGATATACCTCCCTCCCCGGGCCGTGATATACCTCCCTCCCCTGGCCGTGATATACCTCCCTAGAGTGGCCGTGACATACCTCCCTCCCCTGGCCGTGACATACCTCCCTCCCCTGGCCGTGACATACCTCCCTCCCCTGGCCGTGACATACCTCCCTCCCCTGGCCGTGACATACCTCCCTCCCCTGGCCGTGATATACCTTCCTACCCTATCCGTGACATACCTCCCTCCCCTGGCCGTGATATACCTCCCCTAGAGTGACCGTGATATACCTCCCTCCTCTGGCGTGATATACCTCCCTAGAGTGACCGTGACATACCTCCCTCCCCTGGCCGTGATATACCTCCCCTAGAGTGACCGTGACATACCTCCCTCCCCTGGCCGTGATATACCTCCCCTAGAGTGACCGTGACATACCTCCCCCTCCTGGCCGTGATATACCTCCCTAGAGTAACCATGACATACCTCCCTCCCCTGGCCGTGATATACCTCCCTAGAGTAACCGTGACATACCTCCCTCCCCTGGCCGTGACATACCTCCCTCCCCTGGCCGTGACATACCTCCCTCCCCTGGCCGTGACATACCTCCCTCCCCTGGCAGTGATATACCTTCCTACCCTGGCCGTGACATACCTCCCTCCCCTGGCCGTGATATACCTCCCCTAGAGTGACCGTGACGTACCTCCCTCCCCTGGCCGTGACATACCTCCCTAGAGTGGCCGTGACATACCTCCCTCCCCTGGCCGTGACATACCTCCCTAGAGTGACCGTGACGTACCTCCCTCCCCTGGCCGTGATATACCTCCCCTAGAGTGACCGTGACATACCTCCCTCCCCTGGCCGTGACATACCTCCCTCCCCTGGCCGTGATATACCTCCCTCCCCTGGCCGTGATATACCTCCCTAGAGTGACCGTGACATACCTCCCTAGAGTGACCGTGATATACCTCCCCTGGAGTGACCGTGACATACCTCCCTCCCCTGGCTGTGATATACCTCCCTCCCCTGGCCGTGACATACCTCCCTCCCCTGGCCGTGATATATCTCCCTAGAGTGACCGTGACATACCTCCCTCCCCTGGCCGTGATATACCTTCCTAGACTGACTGTGACATACCTCCCTCCCCTGGCCTGATATACCTCCCTAGAGTGACCGTGATATACCTCCCTCCCCTGGCCGTGATATACCTCCCTAGAGTTACCGTGACAGACCTCCCTCTCCTGGCCGTGATATACCTCCCTAGAGTGACCGTGACATACCTCCCTCCCCTGGCCGTGAAATAACTCCCTCCCCTGGCCGTGATATACCTCCCTAGAGTGACCGTGACATACCTCCCTCTCCTGGCCGTGATATACCTCCCTAGAGTGACAGTGACATACCTCCCTCCCCTGGCCGTGATATACCTCCCTAGAGTGACCGTGACATACCTCCCTCCCCTGGCCGTGATATATCTCCCTCCCCTGGCCGTGATATACCTCCCTAGAGTGACCGTGACATACCTCCCTCTCCTGGCCGTGATATACCTCCCTAGAGTGACAGTGACATACCTCCCTCCCCTGGCCGTGACATACCTCCCTCCCCTGGCCGTGACATACCTCCCTCCCCTGGCAGTGATATACCTTCCTACCCTGGCCGTGACATACCTCCCTCCCCTGGCCGTGATATACCTCCCCTAGAGTGACCGTGACGTACCTCCCTCCCCTGGCCGTGATATACCTCCCTAGAGTGGCCGTGACATACCTCCCTCCCCTGGCCGTGACATACCTCCCTAGAGTGACCGTGACGTACCTCCCTCCCCTGGCCGTGATATACCTCCCCTAGAGTGACCGTGACATACCTCCCTCCCCTGGCCGTGACATACCTCCCTCCCCTGGCCGTGATATACCTCCCTCCCCTGGCCGTGATATACCTCCCTCGAGTGACCGTGACATACCTCCCTAGAGTGACCGTGATATACCTCCCCTGGAGTGACCGTGACATACCTCCCTCCCCTGGCTGTGATATACCTCCCTCCCCTGGCCGTGACATACCTCCCTCCCCTGGCCGTGATATATCTCCCTAGAGTGACCGTGACATACCTCCCTCCCCTGGCCGTGATATACCTTCCTAGACTGACTGTGACATACCTCCCTCCCCTGGCCTGATATACCTCCCTAGAGTGACCGTGATATACCTCCCTCCCCTGGCCGTGATATACCTCCCTAGAGTTACCGTGACAGACCTCCCTCTCCTGGCCGTGATATACCTCCCTAGAGTGACCGTGACATACCTCCCTCCCCTGGCCGTGATATATCTCCCTCCCCTGGCCGTGATATACCTCCCTAGAGTGACCGTGACATACCTCCCTCTCCTGGCCGTGATATACCTCCCTAGAGTGACCGTGACATACCTCCCTCCCCTGGCCGTGATATACCTCCCTAGAGTGACCGTGACATACCTCCCTCCCCTGGCCGTGATATATCTCCCTCCCCCTGGCCGTGATATACCTCCCTAGAGTGACCGTGACATACCTCCCTCTCCTGGCCGTGATATACCTCCCTAGAGTGACAGTGACATACCTCCCTCCCCTGGCCGTGATATACCTCCCTAGAGTGACCGTGACATACCTCCCTCCCCTGGCCGTGATATATCTCCCTCCCCTGGCCGTGACATACCTCCCTAGAGTGACCGTGACATACCTCCCTAGAGTGACCGTGACATACCTCCCTCCCCTGGCCGTGATATACCTCCCTAGAGTGACCGTGACATACCTCCCTCTCCTGGCCGTGATATACCTCCCTAGAGTGACCGTGACATACCTCCCTCCCCTGGCCGTGATATACCTCCCTAGAGTGACCGTGACATACCTCCCTCCCCTGGCTGTGATATACCTCCCTCCCCTGGCCGTGACATACCTCCCTCCCTTGGCCGTGATATACCTCCCTAGAGTGACCGTGACATACCTCCCTCCCCTGGCCGTGATATACCTCCCTAGAGTGACCGTGATATACCTCCCTCCCCTGGCCGTGATATACCTCCCTCCCCTGGCCTTGACATACCTCTCTCCACTGGCCGTGAGATACCTCCCTCCACTGGCCGTGAGATACCTCCCTCCCCTGGCCGTGACATACCTCCCCTGGCCGTGATATACCTCCCTCCCCTGACCGTGACATACCTCCCTCCTCTGCGACAGGAAGCTGGACGCCTTCCTGTACGACGCGACGGTGATGGAGTACCTGGTTGGGCAGGACGATGAGTGCAAGCTGCTGACGGTGGGCTCCTGGTACGCCCTCACCGGCTACGGTGTCGCCTTCGCCAGGAAGTCCAAGTACCTGGAGATGTTCAACGAGCAGATTATGAAGTATAGGGAAAACGGTGAGTAGAATGTTCAACGAGTTCCCCGTTGTTGAAGCTGTTTAACGTGCCGCGAGATTGCCGGCTGATATCTTACGTGTATCAGATACCCACAGATATCTTATGTGTATCACGTACCCACAGATATCCTATGTGTATCAGATACCCGCAGATATCCTACGAGTTTCAAGACCAAGACAGTGAGGGGGACAGGAACAGTTGTGAGGGCTCAGGAACAGTTGTGAGGGGTCAGGAACAGTTGTGAGGGGGACAGGAACAGTTGTGAGGGGGACAGGAACAGTTGTGAGGGGGTCAGGAACAGTTGTGAGGGCTCAGGAACAGTTGTGAGGGGTCAGGAACAGTTGTGAGGGGGACAGGAACAGTTGTGAGGGGTCAGGAACAGTTGTGAGGGGGACAGGAACAGTTGTGAAGGGTCAGGAACAGTTGTGAGGGGTCAGGAACAGTTGTGTGGGGTCAGGAACAGTTGTGAGGGGACAGGAACAGTTGTGAGGGGTCAGGAACAGTTGTGAGGGGTCAGGAACAGTTGTGAGGGGACAGGAACAGTTGTGAGGGGTCAGGAACAGTTGTGAGGGGTCAGGAACAGTTGTGAGGGGTCAGGAACAGTTGTGAGGGGTCAGGAACAGTTGTGCGGGGTCAGGAACAGTTGTGAGGGGTCAGGAACAGTTGTGAGGGGTCAGGAACAGTTGTGAGGGGACAGAAACAGTTGTGAGGGGTAAGGAACAGTTGTGAGGGGTCAGGAACAGTTGTGAGGGGTCAGGAACAGTTGTGAGGGGACAGGAACAGTTGTGAGGGGACAGGAACAGTTGTGAGGGGACAGGAACAGTTGTGAGGGGACAGGAACAGTTGTGAGGGGTCAGGAACAGTTGTGAGGGGTCAGGAACAGTTGTGAGGGGTCAGGAACAGTTGTGAGGGGACAGAAACAGTTGTGAGGGGTAAGGAACAGTTGTGAGGGGTCAGGAACAGTTGTGAGGGGTGAGGAACAGTTGTGAGGGGTCAGGAACAGTTGTGCGGGGTCAGGAACAGTTGTGAGGGGTCAGGAACAGTTGTGAGGGGTCAGGAACAGTTGTGAGGGGACAGAAACAGTTGTGAGGGGTAAGGAACAGTTGTGAGGGGTCAGGAACAGTTGTGAGGGGTCAGGAACAGTTGTGAGGGGTCAGGAACAGTTGTGAGGGGTCAGGAACAGTTGTGAGGGGTCAGGAACAGTTGTGAGGGATCAGGAACAGTTGTGAGGGGACAGGAACAGTTGTGAGGGGACAGGAACAGTTGTGAGGGGACAGGAACAGTTGTGAGGGGTCAGGAACAGTTGTGAGGGATCAGGAACAGTTGTGAGGGGGACAGGAACAGTTGTGAGGGGACAGGAACAGTTGTGAGGGGACAGGAACAGTTGTGAGGGGACAGGAACAGTTGTGAGGGGACAGAAACAGTTGTGAGGGGACAGGAACAGTTGTGAGGGGACAGGAACAGTTGTGAGGGGTCAGGAACAGTTGTGAGGGATCAGGAACAGTTGTGAGGGGGACAGGAACAGTTGTGAGGGGACAGGAACAGTTGTGAGGGGTCAGGAACAGTTGTGAGGGGGACAGGAACAGTTGTGAGGGGACAGGAACAGTTGTGAGGGGACAGGAACAGTTGTGAGGGGACAGGAACAGTTGTGAGGGGACAGGAACAGTTGTGAGGGGTCAGGAACAGTTGTGAGGGGACAGGAACAGTTGTGAGGGGACAGGAACAGTTGTGAGGGGACAGGAACAGTTGTGAGGGGACAGGAACAGTTGTGAGGGGACAGGAACAGTTGTGAGGGGTCAGGAACAGTTGTGAGGGGACAGGAACAGTTGTGAGGGGACAGGAACAGTTGTGAGGGGACAGGAACAGTTGTGAGGGGACAGGAACAGTTGTGAGGGGACAGGAACAGTTGTGAGGGGACAGGAACAGTTGTGAGGGGACAGGAACAGTTGTGAGGGGACAGGAACAGTTGTGAGGGGTCAGGAACAGTTGTGAGGGATCAGGAACAGTTGTGAGGGGGACAGGAACAGTTGTGAGGGGACAGGAACAGTTGTGAGGGGACAGGAACAGTTGTGAGGGGTCAGGAACAGTTGTGAGGGGGACAGGAACAGTTGTGAGGGGACAGGAACAGTTGTGAGGGGACAGGAACAGTTGTGAGGGGACAGGAACAGTTGTGAGGGGTCAGGAACAGTTGTGAGGGGTCAGGAACAGTTGTGAGGGGTCAGGAACAGTTGTGAGGGATCAGGAACAGTTGTGAGGGATCAGGAACAGTTGTGAGGGGACAGGAACAGTTGTGAGGGGACAGGAACAGTTGTGAGGGGACATGAACAGTTGTGAGGGGACAGGAACAGTTGTGAGGGGTCAGGAACAGTTGTGAGGGATCAGGAACAGTTGTGAGGGGTCAGGAACAGTTGTGAGGGGGTCAGGAACAGTTGTGAGGGCTCAGGAACAGTTGTGAGGGCTCAGGAACAGTTGTGAGGGGTCAGGAACAGTTGTGAGGGATCAGGAACAGTTGTGAGGGGACAGGAACAGTTGTGAGGGGTCAGGAACAGTTGTGAGGGGTCAGGAACAGTTGTGAGGGGTCAGGAACAGTTGTGAGGGGTCAGGAACAGTTGTGAGGGGTCAGGAACAGTTGTGAGGGGTCAGGAACAGTTGTGAGGGGACAGGAACAGTTGTGAGGGGTCAGGAACAGTTGTGAGGGGTCAGGAACAGTTGTGAGGGGTCAGGAACAGTTGTGAGGGGTCAGGAACAGTTGTGAGGGGTCAGGAACAGTTGTGAGGGGTCAGGAACAGTTGTGAGGGGTCAGGAACAGTTGTGAGGGGTCAGGAACAGTTGTGAGGGGTCAGGAACAGTTGTGAGGGGTCAGGAACAGTTGTGAGGGGTCAGGAACAGTTGTGAGGGGACAGGAACAGTTGTGAGGGGTCAGGAACAGTTGTGAGGGGTCAGGAACAGTTGTGAGGGGTCAGGAACAGTTGTGAGGGGTCAGGAACAGTTGTGAGGGGTCAGGAACAGTTGTGAGGGGTCAGGAACAGTTGTGAGGGGTCAGGAACAGTTGTGAGGGGTCAGGAACAGTTGTGAGGGGTCAGGAACAGTTGTGAGGGGTCTGGAACAGTTGTGAGGGGTCAGGAACAGTTGTGAGGGGACAGGAACAGTTGTGAGGGGTCAGGAACAGTTGTGAGGGGTCAGGAACAGTTGTGAGGGGTCAGGAACAGTTGTGAGGGGACAGGAACAGTTGTGAGGGGACAGGAACAGTTGTGAGGGGACAGGAACAGTTGTGAGGGGTCAGGAACAGTTGTGAGGGGTCAGGAACAGTTGCGAGGGGTCAGGAACAGTTGTTATTTACGAGCTAATATTTACTTCCTAGTTTTTATGAAGTAATTTACGAACTACTAATTACGAGCCAGTGTTTACGAACTAGTATTAACGAGTTGATATTTACGAGTTGATATTAACAAGTTGATATTTACGAGTTGATATTTACGAGTTGATATTTACGAGTTGATATTTACGAGTTGATATTTACGAGTTGATATTTACGAGTTGATATTTACGAGTTGATATTTACGAGTTGATATTTACGAGTTGATATTTACGAGTTGATATTTACGAGTTGATATTTACGAGTTGATATTTACGAGTTGATATTTACGAGTTGATATTTACGAGTTGATATTTACGAGTTGATATTTACGAGTTGATATTTACGAGTTGATATTTACGAGTTGATATTTACGAGTTGATATTTACGAGTTGATATTTACGAGTTGATATTTACGAGTTGATATTTACGAGTTGATATTTACGAGTTGATATTTACGAGTTGATATTTACGAGTTGATATTTACGAGTTGATATTTACGAGTTGATATTTACGAGTTGATCTTTACGAGTTGATCTTTACGAGTTGATCTTTACGAGTTGATCTTTACGAGTTGATCTTTACGAGTTGATCTTTACGAGTTGATCTTTACGAGTTGATCTTTACGAGTTGATATTTACGAGTTGATATTTACGAGTTGATATTTACGAGTTGATATTTACGAGTTGATATTAACGAGTTGATATTTACGAGTTGATATTTACGAGTTGATATTTACGAGTTGATATTTACGAGTTGATATTTACGAGTTGATATTTACGAGTTGATATTTACGAGTTGATATTTACGAGTTGATATTTACGAGTTGATCTTTACGAGTTGATCTTTACGAGTTGATCTTTACGAGTTGATATTTACGAGTTGATATTTACGAGTTGATATTTACGAGTTGATATTTACGAGTCAGTGTTTCTGAATGCTTGTAAATGTTCATGAACGAAACTATTGCTGTTCCTGGTGAGTATTATTCTCAGTCGGTTTCCTCCGATAATTTCACTTCCTCAAGGTTTAGTTCACGTTATCTTGGTTGGAAGATTGCTTTTTCTATAACACTTGTCAGTTTCGTTTCTGCTATTGCAATAATGTGTGGTTGTTCTCCTCTGACCCAGCACTGTAACTATTCCTCATTATTTGTGATTTCATCTGAATTTATGTACGTAACTTTTATACTACGCGTCTCTACTTTGGCGCTTTGGTTTCTTCCACGAGGTAGTGATGGGGTTCCTTGCCTGCGCGCTACTTCGGGTGACTGCTTCTATATGCCAGTTTAACCCATTATGTTCTTGTATTTAACTCTCCGATGCTTGACTCTCCTGTTTTTGTGCCCTGCGTGTGTTGTTTTCTGGTCTCTTTGAGTTACGTACTACATTTGGTTTGATGATGTTTTGCTTCTTTGACCTCCTTTGATGTTGTCTTTAATCAATACCTAATGGCAAGTCACTCTGTCTCTCAGTTTCCCCTATTTCTGCAAGTCTACATATTTGGAAAGATTACTTTCACCAGTCAAATCCGTCCAATTTGAAACATACCCAGCCTAGCGTAATGTTCTCTGGTTGCCTCAAGTAGCTTGTATGAGTCGTCCCTTCATACACACGACGTAGCTGTCCCTATTTTCCGCTTGTTACAACTTGTAATAAAGTTGTTACATCTTGTTATAAAGTTTTTATGACGTATTAGAACGTTCTTACAACTTGGTAGGAGTTGTTTTACTTATTCGAGCGTTGTAGAAACGTCGTAGTTTCGTCGACGCTTCCCATCACTCTTGTGCAGGGGCCAGATTCACGAAGCAGTTACGCAAGCACTTACGAACCTGTACATCTTTCCTCAATCTTTGACGGCTTTGGTTACATTTATTAAACAGTTTACAAGCATGAAACCTTCCCAATCAACTGATGTTATTGTTATAAACAGCCTCCTGGTGCTTCGGAGCTCATTAACTGTTTAATAATTGTAACCAAAGCCGCCAAAGATTGAGAAAAGATGTACAGGTTCGTTAGTGCTTGCGTAACTGCTTCTTGAATCTGGCTTCAGGTCAACACTGACGTGACATTTCACAACTGTATGTATACAAAGATTTCATTTCACTGTATATGTATCATTGTCATTATTCCCGATAATTACCTTCACTGAAGGCTGCTGAATGGCGTGTGTATTTAAACTGTGTTCAGCTTGATCATGTCTGTCTGTTTAATGCCTCGCCCGCTCATCTATTTCTCCACACAGAAAATGTAATATTATAGTGATATTACTTGGAGTATTATATTAATATGACTTCGGGTATTTCAGTGATGTTACTTGGAGTATTATAGTAATATGTCTTCGAGTATTTCAGTGATGTTACTTGGAGTATTATAGTAATATGTCTTCGAGTGTTTCAGTGATGTTACTTGGAGTATTATAGTAATATGTCTTCGAGTATTTCAGTGATGTTACTTGGAGTATTATAGTAATATGTCTTCGAGTATTTCAGTGATGTTACTTGGAGTATTAGCCATACTTAGTATTTACTTAATATTTCTTTCAGTGTTATAGTGATATTCCTTGCACGACACTTGGAATATTTCAATTATGTCCCTTAGAGTATTAAAGTGATATTCTTTGGAGTATTACAGTAATATTCCTTATCAATAGTCACGATTCTTTATACACCCACATCACCATCAATCATAAGAACGCAAGAACATAAGAATTACAAACTGCGGAAGGCTTACTGTCCCTTACTAGACAACTGCCAATTACATCCACCCAAAATCCACTCATATCTGCCTAACCTATGCTTCAAAGGAGTCCACTTATCCCACATCTGTTACGTTACCCGATAATTCAATTCATAGATCAACCACTATTGAAACCAGTATTTACCCAGGTCTTTTTTAAATCTAAACTTATCCAATTTATATCCAGTGTTTGGTGTTGATATATTTAACTCGTTGATATCTTATCTGTTCTCAGGTGATCTGGAGAGGATAGCCCGTTTCTGGTTCACAGGGGCGTGTAAGCCTAACAAGCAGCAGAAGTCGTCCAGCAAGCCCCTGGCACTCGAGCAGTTTATGTCGACCTTTCTCCTGCTGGGGTGCGGCATCCTGCTGGCCCTGCTCCTGCTCGGCCTCGAGCACCTCTACTTCAAGTACTTCCGTCAGTACATGGCCAGGTCCGAGAAGGGCAACTGCTGCTCTCTGCTTAGTATGGTGAGTCCTGCTGCTGCTGCTCTCTGCTTAATATGGTGAGTCCTGCTGCTGCTGCTCTCTGCTTAGTATGGTGAGTCCTGCTGCTGCTGCTGCTGCTGCTCTCTGCTTAGTATGGTGAGTCCTCCTGCTGGTGGTGGTCCCTGCTTAGTATGGTGAGTCCTCCTGCTGCTGGTGCTCTCTGCTTAGTATGGTGAATCCTCCTGCTGCTGGTGCTCTCTGCTTAGTATGGTGAGTCTTCCTGCTGCTGCTGCTGGTGGTGGTGGTACCTGCTTAGTATGACGAGTCCTCACTTGAGCTCCCCCCCCCCTCACATCATCACTCGTATGATCAATGAGATGTCTCAACAATGTACACATTACCGGGGTCACATATTACTCTATTACAAACCTGTTATAACATCTGTCAAAGTCTTGGATCATCAAAGATTTAGTTAAGAGGTCTGTCCAGTGGACATTGAAATTGAAATGAAAGTTTAAATTGAAATTGATTTTTCCTTCAGTCTGGGTCTCGTATCACAATTGGTTTCGTTGTCCACTCTCAGTTTCTGGTCCCGGGCTTATCTTGAGCTTCACTGAAACGGTTGGGTAAGTTTCCTATCAATCTTATATATGTGTGTGTACAGTGACCCACTCAAAGAGCCCGCGCTTCAACCTCTGGTGGCTACGTCACGTCACCTTCCCTCAGGGCTCTCCCCTATTGGTCACGTCCACCAACGCCCAACCAATCACCGTCTTTACATCCGGGAAACTCGGTGTCGCCACCGAGGAGCATCTCTCGGCGGGAAAGAATCCTATCCGCCATCTTGTCTCCTCGTCTACCTAATTTAAAACTCAGATAAATTGAAATCCTGGCTTCTCGCATCCCTTCAAGTACATTAAAATGAAACTTGGTGACTTCTAGGCTATATAGATGTTCGAGTATGACTCTTTTAACAGTGATTTATGTAAGAACACTCATATGATACTCTAGATTACATATTCTAGCTACAGCTCTAGGAAGCCACTTCAAGCGAGTGGCCGATGCTGCAGAGTGCCAGCCACCATAGGTGAGGTGGTCGAAATGATTCGCTGGTTGCCAAGAAAGTGTTGTGGGAAATATAAGACATAAGCGAATTGCCAAATTTTTTCGCCCAGCTCTGGACTCGTCTAGACGGGATGAAAGGAAGTGTGTGGGCATTTGAAGGTATTGTGTACCTGTATCCAGGTTTGGAGAGTTTGCTACCCCTCCAAGCCCGGCCAGATGCCAAGCTCAGTCACCCGAGACGCCTCAAGTTATGACTCAGAGTTCCAGCTGAGTGTTAGGTCATCCTTCACAGCATACAGTCCTCGTTTTAGACGCGTTCTCAACACCTTAACTTTGTCTTCCTTCAAACGGCACTTTATTTACCAGGAAGTATGACGGAAGAAGAGCATTAGTGTCTATGTTGCTCCAAGTTTCTCGCAGTTTACAATTATTCTCGCAAAAAAATATTTTTAAACACTTCATATCTGGATTGTACCTGGTTGATAGGGTTCTGGGAGTTGTTCTACTCCCCAAGCCCGGCCCGAGGCCAGGCTTGACTTGTGAGAGTTTGGTCCACCAGGCTGTTGCTTGGAGCGGCCCGCAGGCCCACATATTCACCACAGCCCGGTTGGTTCAGTATTCCTTGAAGAAAACAGTCCAGTTTTCTCTTAAAGATGTCCACGGTTGTTCCGGCAATATTTCTTATACTCGCTGGGAGGATGTTGAACAACCGCGGACCTCTGATGTTTATACAGTGTTCTCTGATTGTGCCTATGGCACCTCTGCTCTTCACTGGTTCTATTCTGCATTTTCTTCCATATCGTTATATTATTTGATACGTATCTCGTCTCTTTTACAAAGAGAACATTTGGAGAGCTTTGAGACGATTCCAATAATTTAGGTGCTTTATCTCGTCTATGCGTGCCGTATATGTTCTCTGTATTTCCTCTATTTCAGCAATCTCTCCTGCTGTGAAGGGGGAAGTGAGTACTGAGCAGTACTCAAGATGGGACAACACAAGTGACTTGAAGAGTACAACCAATGTGATGGGATCTCTGGATTTGAAAATTCTCATAATGCATCCGATCATTTTTCTGGCTGACGCAATATTTGCTTGGTTATGCTCCCTAAACGTTAGGTCGTCGGACATCATTATTCCCAAATCCTTTACATGCTGCTTTCCTACTATGGGCAGATTTGATTGTGTTTTGTACCCTGTATTATGTTTAAGGTCCACATTTTTACCGTACCTGAGTACCTGGAATTTATCACTGTTAAACATCATGTTATTTTCTGATGCCCAGTCGAAGATATTATTGATATCTGATTGTAATCAGGGGATTCTATAAGAAAATATAATTATTGAAATTATGACCCAAACGAGGCAGCTCCTATTAATTTATTTATTTTAAATACAGTAATTCTTTAATGTGAGGTGTGAAGTGTAACGACTATATGTGCAATATGAGGAATATTGCACAATATATATATATATATATATATATATATATATATATATATATATATATATATATATATATATATATTTATATTTATATGTCGTACCTAGTAGCCAGAACGCACTTCTCATCCTCCTATGCAAGGCCCAATTTGCCTAATAAGCCAACTTTTCATGAATTAATTGTTTTTCGACTACCTAACCTACCTAACCTAACCTAACCTAACTTTTTCGGCTACCTAACCTAACCTAACTTTTTCGGCTACCTAACCTAACCTAACTTTTTCGGCTACCTAACCTAACCTAACCTATAAAGATAGGTTAGGTTAGGTTAGGTAGGGTTGGTTAGGTTTGGTCATATATCTACGTTAATTTTAACTCCAATAAAAAAAAATTGACCTCATACATAATGAAATGGGTAGCTTTATCATTTCATAAGAAAAAAATTAGAGAAAATATGTTAATTCAGGAAAACTTGGTTTATTAGGCAAATCGGGCCTTGTATAGTAGGCTGAGAAGTGCGTTCTGGCTATTAGGTACGACATATATATATATATATATATATATATATATATATATATATATATATATATATATATATATATATATATATATATATATATATATATGCGATCAAGCCTGAATGGTCCCCAGGACAATATGCAACTGAAAACTCACACCCCAGAAGTGACTCGAACCCATACTCCCAGGAGCAACGCAACTGGTATGTACAAGACGCCTTAATCCACTTGACCATCACGACCGGACAAAATGAGGTGATAGCCGAGGCTATTTGAACCACCCCACCGCCGGCACTCGGATAGTAATCTTGGGCATAGCATTTTACCAAATCACCTCATTCTTTGGGGCACACGTGAGGAACACAAATGCGATCAAAGATGGTCAAGTGGATTAAGGCGTCTTGTACATACCAGTTGCGTTGCTCCTGGGAGTATGGGTTCGAGTCACTTCTGGGGTGTGAGTTTTCAGTTGCATATTGTCCTGGGGACCATTCAGGCTTGATCGCATTTGTGTTCCTCACGTGTGCCCCAAAGAATGAGGTGATTTGGTAAAATGCTATGCCCAAGATTACTATCCGAGTGCCGGCGGTGGGGTGGTTCAAATAGCCTCGGCTATCACCTCATTTTGTCCGGTCGTGATGGTCAAGTGGATTAAGGCGTCTTGTACATACCAGTTGCGTTGCTCCTGGGAGTATGGGTTCGAGTCACTTCTGGGGTGTGAGTTTTCAGTTGCATATTGTCCTGGGGACCATTCAGGCTTGATCGCATTTGTGTTCCTCACGTGTGCCCCAAAGAATGAGGTGATTTGGTAAAATGCTATGCCCAAGATTACTATCCGAGTGCCGGCGGTGGGGTGGTTCAAATAGCCTCGGCTATCACCTCATTTTGTCCGGTCGTGATGGTCAAGTGGATTAAGGCGTCTTGTACATACCAGTTGCGTTGCTCCTGGGAGTATGGGTTCGAGTCACTTCTGGGGTGTGAGTTTTCAGTATATATATATATATATATATATATATATATATATGCAGGGCTATATACCTATGTATATAGGTATAGAGCAGGTGAGCTGTACAACAGGTGGTTAGATCATAACAAGGGCCGTAATGATGCAAATCTCAACTCATTAGCAGCATCGTTTAACCTTTGTAGTTACCATGGCAACATCTGGCGACTGTGTGAGTGAACAATGTTTGCAGCACCAGTTACTGCAGCTGCTCTCTTAACTGTTGTAGCTCATTGTTAGTGGTGAATAATGGAGTGGAAAAAATAGCTGGCTACACTGCTGCCCTGAGACACGGGGATATGGTGTGGCGTCAGTGTAGGCGGATGTTCTGGTGGTGTGGCGTCAGTGTTGGTGTGGCGTCAGTGTAGGTGATGTTCTGGTGGTGTGGTGTCAGTGTTGGTGATGTTCTGTTGGTGTGGCGTCAGTGTTGGTGATGTTCTGGTGGTGTAGCGTCAGTGTAGGGGGATGTTCTGGTGGTGTGGCGTCAGTGTTGGTGTGGCGTCAGTGTTGGTGATGTTCTGGTGGTGTGGCGTCAGTGTAGGTGATGTTCTGGTGGTGTGGCGTCAGTGTTGGTGTGGCGTCAGTGTTGGTGTGGCGTCAGTGTAGGTGATGTTCTGGTGGTGTGGCGTCAGTGTTGGTGTGGCGTCAGTGTAGGTGATGTTCTGGTGGTGTGGTGTCAGTGTTGGTGATGTTCTGTTGGTGTGGCGTCAGTGTTGGTGATGTTCTGGTGGTGTGGCGTCAGTGTAGGGGGATGTTCTGGTGGTGTGGCGTCAGTGTTGGTGTGGCGTCAGTGTTGGTGATGTTCTGGTGGTGTGGCGTCAGTGTTGGTGATGTTCTGGTGGTGTGGCGTCAGTGTTGGTGATGTTCTGATGGTGTGGCGTCAGTGTTGGTGATGTTCTGGTGGTGAGCGTCAGTGTAGGTGATGTTCTGGTGGTGTGGCGTCAGTGTAGGTGATGTTCTGGTGGTGTGGCGTCAGTGATGGTGATGTTCTGGTGGTGTGGCGTCAGTGTTGGTG